GCGGCACAATACATGCAAAACAAATGAGAACGAATATGCGTTTATTCCTTAAAGTCGTACAATACATGCAAAAATATCTTTGTCGGACAAGGCTATATTAAATCACTCTCATTCCACATATTTATTCTCTCAGGTGGTTGGCTTTTTTACAAAGACCTGTTGAATTATTGAGAACGAATATGCGCTTATTCCTTAAAGTCGTACAATACATGGAAAATTATCGAGAATTTTATACGCTTATTCTTATTACAGGCCTGTTTGTCGAATATTGCCATTAACCTTAAGACAGAGTTGCAATTTGTGTGGATCTTGTATTTCATCCGGTGTGAACAATCGGGAAACAGGCGTCGATGTATCGAAACCTTTCCCTAGAGACCAAGGCATGCCTTTAGTTCGGGCGACTTGCAACGAACACTAGGCTGCCATATCCAAAACTAAACAACGAACCACCCACGAATTGCACGGCACTCCCTTTGGAAACGTTTCTGCAACGCCTCCCAATCACGCACGCCAATTCCACCTCATGAGCCACCTTACTGAAGACTTAAGGAATGTAAAACTTAACATAATGCAGATTATAGCGCATATTCATTGCAGAACTTACAATTACATTTTGACCTTCTTGTATTAGAGAAGTTGACGGTTTAAGGAAAAGTATTGGCTCTTCCCGAATTGGCAGATTTCGACTTTTGATTATGTCCCTAAAATAGAAATTTGCAAAATCAACTTTGTTAATACGCAGCTTTGTTAATATGTCCAATGATGGCAGCAAGTCACTAGGCAGTGCTTTGCATTTAGCTGAATTCAGGTGATTCACCAATGCGGTGGCATTTATTTGTACATGAGCAGATATCAGCCGGACATATGTGCTTAAATCGATTGAAAATGTGACTCGGAATGTGATTCGAAATACATTTTAAAATATGATTCGGAAATTCGCATTAACCAAATTTACACTTACCAGCAGTGACGCACTGCATACAGGTGCGAAAGACTTACGTTTTGTGCAATTCTCCCAATAAAATTAATAAAATTTCAAATTCTCGAAAATATCGTTTCGAGAAAATGTAGCTATTTAAAATTTCATTGACCTTCGAAATCATTCTCATATATGTAAGAGATCGGATAAATCAAAAAAAAAAAATTATGTATTAAAACTTCACAAAGCTACACCCATTCGTCAAACCGTTTTTCACGCCGGTTCAAGATTATTTTTCCGGCTATACGACGCACTTCAAATTTACAAAAAGAGTTTTACGAAAATATATATGCAACTTTCCGATCAACTTTTTTATTTATGGTTAACATAACTTGTATTAGCAATATTCAGTTCATCTTCACTCTCGATATTATCAGTCGGCTTGTTCATGTCACCGCTCGTATTATTTGCACCTGAATTATTATTGTCACTCCTTTCAAACCTCAAGAGACGAATTATTGAAAAAATACTTTAATGTTAGCTTGGGAAAGTAAGGCGCACCCAAAATTCGGGGCCATTTTTTTCTATGTAAAAATGTGCATCTTATAGTCCGAACAATAGGATTATACACTGGCAAGCATTTCCATAAGCTTCTCTTAGGTGAAAATATCTGCGAATATTCTGAAAATTCAACTGAAACAGTTTTCTTGTGCAGTTCAGACATAAGGAATCGAAAAAGGTTTTCTCGTTTTGTTATGTAATCCTTATATTTATTCAATAGCCAACAATTATTATGTATATATTATAAACATTTATATGGTTATATATATATATGAATTAAGATATTTTTTCCACTAACGTGTATTACATATTATAGCCGTTGTTAGGAAAATGAAAACACATGGTTTAATACTATTTTCATCTTGTGTAAAATCTAAAATTACGCCCAGATAGCCTACAGAATTGCAGGATTGCAAGCAGTGCGTTGATGATGGATGCTAAGTAATCTCTTTACGTTCGAACTCTCAAAATTGCTGAAGTGATGTAAAGATAGAAAGCAAAAATTAACGAAAAAATTTTTAGAAAAGTTCAGAAGCTTTTACAGATCTCTCCTAATATAGTTAAAAAACCAAAATAGGAAGTGACCTCTACAAAAAAATCTTAAACACGCTACATTTGCACCAATAATTAAAAACACATCATAACACCACAGCAAAGATGGATTTAAAATTTTACTTGTCGATTATTTAGAGCTCTTCAAATGTCGAATATGAGCCAGATGTGCTAGAGGGCATACCTTTAGTAATATGTCGGAAAAATTCTTCGAGTTTCTTGTTGGCCGAACAATACTTTTACGAGGCTTTATAAATTTTAACGTATAGTTTTAAAGAAAAAAAAATCTATTTTTCTCAATTCAAAGGAACATAATTAATACATTTTAGCTAAAAAATAACTTTTGGTTCTGAAGAACAAACCGAACCGATTAAGTTTAATAAAAAAGTTTGGATATTTACACTATATCCCTCCCACTTACTAAGACTTTCGAAGCTCTTTTTCAATAATCTTCGAACCAAATTCTTATAATACGCATGAGGGTTCTAAGCGCTTATACTGTGTGTGCTTTAGTAGAAAAACATATGCTCTTGCAATCCAAGACTTTACAAGTAAGAGGTAAAAAATTCGAGCTGACCTTCTTGTGTAGCGAAAGTAGGCAATGATAAGTAAACGCAATTGATCGAGTTTGACGGGATTGTAAAGCGCTTTACTTACTAAAAAGCAAACCTTCAATAAAACCCAAAGAGTTTCCAGTTTACGACTGATTTGTAACATTAAGAAGATATCAACAACAAACACGTGCTGGCAATCTATTCTAATAAAATCTTAATTTAGAACACGAAGGAAGTGCAAACTTTGTTTTTCTTTATTATTAAAGGATATTGTGTAAGTGAGGCTTTCCCATCGATTCCTGCTAAAAGGAGACAATTTGAAGACAAATTTGATTTTGGGCAACAAAAAGGAAAGAGAAATGAATTGTACATAGCTTGTCCATCCATAGCAGAACGGGCTTAACTAGTAGCTGACCAACAACATCAATGCTGTTTTCTAATCGCAGTAAAAACCAGCAATATTCAAAGTATACATGTTTTGTCAATAAGATACACTCTAGCTAAGATGTGAACGAAACCGAGACCATATAATGTCCTTTCAGGGATTCAAATGAAAAGTCATAATTTGAAGAATTTGCATAAAGGACTAAGTTATTCCCGTTGGGATTATAGACAAGCAATAATATGGCGCCTTCGTAATCAATTTGAGGAATATTTAAGATGTCAATTTATGAATGCCAATGCCACGCCTTTAAACTTTTGTGTATTAATGATTACTTGGGGGAATATTCATTTAGTCTACTATTTTAAATTTACTATTTTCTTTTAGACAATTTACCAGTTCATTGCTATTTGTTGTCTAACAATTTTTAGGAGATGATTTTCCTAATCCTAAAATAATTTGTCATCATTTATATTAGTTATATGTATGTACATGTTTTAATTTTCAGATTTAATAAATAAATTCTCTTTCTTATATTTTAAAAATTTGTATATCACTTTTGTTTGCTTTTTTTTCGCTCGCATAATTTATATCATATATAAAATTTTTATAATACATTTCACCTTTTAAAAGGTTTTTAATTTTGCTTTTAAAATCTAACTTAAGATTTCTATAGAAGAGGAAAGAGAATAAATAATATGCAGCCTTTCAAAAGTACATTATTTAGGGTTCGTGATGTTTGAGAAAATCCTCTAGACATTTGGGTATTTCCTCTTTATACGGTATGCGATACCTACTGATAACGGTGGCAGCCAAACATTTAAGGGTAATATAATTCATCAGTGAGACAGTGTTAGCAGGATTGCTGGCAATTAAATTGAAAGGACGCTCATCCGATTTATTGGGTTGATCGAGATCCGCACCATTATTTAGAAGTAAAGAAATTATCTACAAAAATTAATTTAATAAAATATTTCTGAATATTTGAACAACAGTTAGTAAATACCTCATTACTGAAATTGTAGGGTTGAGCAGCGATATGCAAAGGCGTAGATTTTACTTCATTTTTTGCATTTACATTCATGCCACAATCCAATAGAAACTTGATAACGGAAGCATCCGGAAATATGATCTATAAAATGTATAAATCATTTTTTACAACTTGAGATATTTTATTAACCTATTTTGCTTACATTTAAATTATTATCATTTAGATAACCGCTTTTGATAACATTTAAACGTGAAACACATAAATGTAAAAGCGTATCGCTCGTACAGGCACTACAAATATTCAATTTTACCAACTCTTTTACAGACATATAAACGCGACGTATTTCGTCACGACCGTGTGCCGTTGAGACCAAGAGATAGATTGCGTGCGCTATGCATTTGAATATATTATCAAAGTTTTCCTGCTGCTTACGGTGTACCGGACGTATTTGTAGTAAATCATATGATTCGCTTATGGTTTCCGTAAGCAAATTGAATACGGTAAGCACATCAACAAAGCGAGGCAAATGTTCGAAATCAGCATTAAACTCGAGATGCGTATTCCGTTCGTTCAGTTCTAACATTAAACGCACTAGTGCTTGGGCCGCAAAGCATGTATCAAAATGTAATATCGAATTGTGTTGCACTCTTATTTCCAATAGCAAGGTCCAAAGATGAATACAGCGTTGCAATTGTAATGAGTCGGCGTACGAAGCGCCTCGAAATGTTAAACGAAACAAAGTATCTTTATGAGTTATGCCCAAAATGCGTTCACAAATCAAGAGACTTTGTACACGCATTGCATCAATGTCTACGGCTATATTGTCTAATTCTTCTAATGTTTGAAATTCTACGGCATTACAATAAGCCTCACGCAACGGTACTTTCGGAAATTTTTCTTTAATATATATATGAAAATAAAAAATTTGCATAGTAAAGAAAAAACGAATTGAAAATTTTTTTTTTATTTACCAATGTAAGGTGTTTGAGATGCTCGTATATGTTGAGCAAGTCGCCAATGCAGTATGGCTACTCGGCTTTCATTGTGTTCGTCCAAAAAGGTGGAACCTATTAATTCATGAGCTTCTGCTATTCTTTCTAACGAATACTCTAAATTATTTTTGAGATAATCGAAAATTTGATGAGCCCCCTTTAATAAAAAAAACAAAAAAACAAAAATAAAAAGAACAGAAATTATTAAAATATTTTTATTGTGTTTGAACACAAATTTGCCTTTAAACATGCTGTACGCAAGGCGTCATCACCATGTCGACTTAAAACGTAAGGATTGGCACCGTGTGCTAATAAAAGTTTAGTAGTTTCCAGTCTACAAGCAACAACAATAACATGTCAAACAACAAGAATAACAGCGAATCAAACTTAACTCTACCTATGTTCCTGTATGGCATAGTGTAGAGCAGTTTTACCCTGTATATCGATAGCATTTACGTCCGCACCTTTGCGTATTAAAAACAAACACAATTGCGGTGATTGCACTGAGTTAATTAAACATGTACCACCGTTCATGTTGGTCTTTTTAATATCAGCACCATGTTCAACTAGAAATTTAACTATAAAAATGATCTAATTTAAAATGAAGCAGAACCATTTTAATATTAATCCAACTTACCCATTTCAATGTGAGTCATATAGCATGCGCTTCGCACTGGCGTTGATCCGGTATCAGAGATCGCGTTTATATCACAACCGACACGTAACAAATACTTGACCATTGGCAGTTTATTAGAAACTACTGCACACCAAAATGGAGTAACGCGATGAAATGTACGATCCACCGGGGCCTCATAGAGACCATGTTGTTCGATATTAGCTTCGCAAATTGTTACGAGGTATTCCGCAATTGGTACACAGCCGCGGCTAGCCGCTATGAACAAAGGGGCACAACCATTCCGCATACGCTTTACCGCTTCTCGTCGCACTTCGCGACTATAACTAATTTCGATTAAAGAGATAATAAAATGCATATTAAGAACGCTTTACACGATTAAGCTCTTAAGTATATGGATATGTTTATGACATTTACCGTGTCAGGAACTTCAAAACGACTTTCGTTTACACCACCAGAATTAACAAAAAGAAAAAAAAAAAAAAAAATGGATGATGGACGATATAGAAGATAGGAGCATGTAGACGTTCAAAAATGCTGCATAGGACAACAAATTTCTTTGTTAAAAAAGTCAAATGGTATTTCTATTTTTTTAATTTTTGTATCTATAGGAGAGTGCACGCTGGGCAGGTTTTCTATTACTTTCTCAATTAAGATAACACGCATTGATTGCACCTTCAATAGCAAAAGTTGTAAAGTCAAAAAATCTTACGCTATAACATGTTCTTCTGTATCTACTAATCCATCGCTGCGCAACAAATAATTCTTCCTGAGATTTAGATGCCTCTAACTCAAGTTCGTTCTTGCTAAATAAATAAATTTCTTTTGAAGCTTCCAAAATCTGCGGATGTAACCTTTTCGCACCACATTCGTATTGGAGTCATTCAACCCTTGTAATTTATTCCATACGCGATCACTCAACATAGTCAACATGCATAACCATATATGTAAGATTATCCCCTTCATACGTTGCAGATCGGACAAATAAACATTATCAGTTAAGTTTTATCAGAGAGTTTAGTCGTCCTTCAAAACTTTATCGTAGAACACTACCGTTTTCACTACCTGGAGTATTTATGGCTGCGTGACTGTAAATTCAATCCGACTATATGAAAATATTTCAACAATTTAGAAGCACTCTTCCATTTCATAGTGTTGAAATCGCGAAAATAATTAGGATAAATTTCACAACCTCCCAACCAAATCTGAAAAAGAAGTAAAACAATTACTTCGCTATGATAAGGAGTGGAGAAGAACGAATAGGTAATATATCTTTAGCTTTTCCAAGTGGTTTATCGCCATTACCAAATGCTCTTTACGCTTTATGAGATTTATATTCCACGGATCTGCTTTGTTGATCGATTTGCATATTAAAACGAAGAACAGACTGTATACGAAGGCTCCCTGATCAATCCCCAAATTAAACATTAATCGGGTTTACATATACCTGTGTCCTGATCCATATTTTTGATTGTTCAAACTGTAATGACATAGTTGGTACATTTTCTTACATCGGCATTAAATACAAAATTTTAAGTACTATCGCTGCGCATCAAACGCAATTAAAATTAATTGCATCATAAAAGAATTTCTTCTAGAAAAATGGCAAAAGTATTTTTAAAATGTAAATACATATATAGAACTTCCATACACGGAATTGTGGTCAAGTAAATGTAAAAATTACTAATATGTGAAAGAAAAAATATCTTGCAGCTCTTGTTACTATATATAAGAGGGCATGTAATGTTTTTTGTTTACAAACAGTAATCTATTATTTACGCATATGCATATATTTGTGAAAACTTCGTACACTTTAAGATTTTTAATATATTGATAATGCTTCTTCTATAGAAATTCAACAAGTGCAACGACGTCATATTATAGCGTCAACGATCAGCACGAGATGAATATACAAAGACGATTATAGAAGCTATTTCCTTTTTAAATATAAACGCATATATATAGAAATACATACCATTCCAGTTCTTCTCGAAGGCCTTTCGAGATGGTAGAATTTTCTGAACATTTTTTACATTCTTCAATAAGATCATAGCTGAGTTTTGTTATTTTTCGATACATGCTTGGGATTACAATGGACATCCAATTGCCATTGAACTCACTAACCGCTTGTTCATTTTTGGTAACTATTGACTCATCGTATAATATAGCATTTGACATGATGATTTGATTAAGTTGTAAATATTTTGGCACAAATGAATTGTATAATGTGTTTATTTTTGTATACAAATACCAAAGAAAATTTCTCCCACTACATACAAAGTTTTTAATAATCCTAAGACTAAAACTGAACATTAGCTATATTGGCATTATTATTATTAATTATAGGCAATTTCTCGCGTATTTTTTTAGCAAGTACAACCTAGACAGGATAGAGTGGTTTTGCTGGCAAAGGGGATTTACTCCGTTCGCCTTAATGAGATTTAAATAATATTACACTCTCTTTTACGTCACTAGATGAGAGAAAGTTTATATATCTTGTTACAAGTTTTCACTATATATAAATTATAATTACACATTATTTATGCATTTCTTTCAGCTTGTTTAATTTTTTTAAAGATCTTAATTGACGGTTTGCAAAATAACAAAATGTTTTCTTTGCTCTTTTCTTTCCTCCAGAATAGAAATTATTTGCTTTTGATATAAGGAATTTCGTATCATGTGAAAACTTTAAGACACGTTTCGCTTTGGAATTTATATTAGCCAGATAAAAATTCTCATGGAATATTCGTTTTGAAATTAATTAATTAAACGGAATTTGTAACAAAGCAAACAAAATATTGGAAAAAAGTCCGAAATTCAGAAATTCTTTTTTACTAAGGCGATGAAATTTATGAGATTGACAATTGAAAAAATTTATGCATATGTTTAGTGTGCTAAAAGTGTATTGCCATATTGAATAGATTTAACAGATGAATAACATTACTAAAAATTCGTCGAAAGAATCGGTTTTGTATGGAATTATTTAAAATTTTTACAAAAAAGTGTTTTAAGCCAAAACTATAATTTCGATACTGAAAAAGATCATTTTTAAGAAAATTCATATTGTTTTTCCTAAGCAGAAGCGTAAGCATATACACTTTTTGCAAAAATATAAAAAGGAGCGACACCACCGAAAAATTTCAAACAGGCGTTTATGGCAACACTCAAAACCCCACAAAAAAGGTCTACCAACACATATGTTAGATTTTCTTCTTATTTCACTTAAAATGTTTATTTTTATATGGATTGTAAAACGTTTACAATGTTTTTAAATACATTTGCGAAATCGTAAGTAAAAAAGAACGCTCCTTACCACAAAAAAAAGGTGGAGAACACTTTTCACACTTGCCTAAAAAAAAAAAAAAAAAAAGAGTTTGTTAAGCTGTAGGTGATGAAACAAATTGAATATTGCTTAGTTGCTAGAAATTAATGTGGAAAGTTCTCATACTCCAATTATCTTTTAGTTTTAGCTACAGGTGCCGAAGGATTTTGACCTTTGTAAAATTGTTTTAACAAATCCATTGCTTCCTCGGCTCGTAGCCCCGCTTTCATTTCCAATGGTCGTCCTAAAACTTGCTGCACATCGACTACGCTTTTACCGCCAAAGCGATCATTAGCACATCCGTAGATAATCTCTTTCACTTTTAAGTTATGCAAAGCCGCCAAACACATTATACAAGGCTCCACGGTAACAACTACGGTGATTTGAGAAAACACTTCATCCGACTGGAGATTATGCGTAGAGCAATAGCATAATATTTGATCGATACAAACAAATTCGGCGTGACGGGTAGCATTTTTTGTAGCATTTACTTGATTACCAGCCCTAGCAATTATAGCGTTTTTATAAACAAAAACGCAACCCACTGGAACTTCACCTTCGGACAAAGCTGAACGCGCTTGCTCGAAGGCTACGCTCATGAAATGATCGACAGTCATATTTATGTTTAGTAAAATTGTATTGCCAAATTGATCTGTTTAAAATTTGTCTTTATTTAATTTCACTTAATATATCATGCACAATAAAATAATAGCAAATGAAAACAGCTGTGTTTTTGTTGCTTAAAGGGATGTATTAGGAATTTCAACCCTACAATTACTGTTCTATAACGAAAATTAAATTATTAATAATATGTAGTTTGCAATTATTTCTGCGTTCGAAAATTTTCTAGTTCATCCGATACTTCGGCTTTAAATACTTCCCTAATCCGGTTTATTTCTCGTTGCATTTTACTTTTATATATTATGCCAAATATTACGAGAAACTCTTCCAGCTGAAATGTTGAAATAAGATAGAATTAAAAAGATAAAACTTTCTGGGAATTTACCAGCAAATCTTTTTCTTTGCGACCATATTTAACGAACTGACATTGTGGCGCATGTTTCGCGTGTTCCTTCCAAGGATTATCTGTAGATTCCCATCCATGTAAGGTTTTTTGGCAGACGAAACATGTCGCGGTATCATTTTCCTTATCATTACCACTCCAAAAGAAACCCGCTTCAGCCATTTTCACAACACTACAGGGAAAGTTATCATTAAATGGCCATTTTTTATAACTGTCGATTCGATGCTTTTCCATGAGATACACATTTTTAAAATTATCAAATTTTGCTGATAAATCTATGTTTTCATACATTTTCTAATATTTATTTAATATAATTTTGTAAAGTTGAAGAATTTTAAGTGTCACTTCGCGGTTGTTTATTTGTTTTTACTGTCAATTCTAAAGTAAGGGTTACCTAGTATTTAATTTTGTATAATAAATATTTTTTGAGAGCAACTCGTCTATTTCTGACATACCTCTGGGAATTCAGTTGTGCACAGTTAAATCTGAAGCAAAACGTGAAAATCATCAGACTAAATAAATTTCACAAAAAAGAAAATACCAAATGAAAATTTGTTGTTATTTAATATTTCATACACAGTCGTACTATGTTTACTACATAAATAATTAAAATATGATTAAAAAAATTAACCCAGACTCGTTCATATTTCTCGTTAATAAGTTCGGTGCAGTGATCATTGCTAACTCTTCTCTATTATTATTGCAAGTTTTTTTTACAAGTAAATTCGATTTAGCAAAACGATTAATGTGAAGTAAACTCTTAGAAGTAAAAAAAAAGACCGAAAATCTTGAGGTCAACACCCTAGAACTTTAAAGCAGACAATATTGCTAAAAAGTTACCGAAATCTTGGAGATGATTGAATAAAATTATATCATATTCACGAATTCATCTGCCCACAATCAATTCTGCGTTTGTTGGCGTGATATTGGTTTTTGGTTCAGTTCATTTTTATCATAATTTAATTGTTTAAAGGTAAGCTACAGTAGAAAATTTACTATTCTTAAAGACTTTAATTTCGTAAAACTCGAAACATATATTAAATGCGTGACGGAAGAAACTGTGATGGTTATAATAGGTAATGAAAATCTTTGCCTTCCCTTTGATTCTCCCACGCATTATACAATCCAATACAAAACAATTCTTTCGGAGTGCACTTTCCGAAAGTATTTCGATTTCGTAATTTTATTTTACTTCCGCCAAACAAAATATTCTAGAAAAGTTTTCCGACCATGTCTACAATAAGCATTAAAAAAAACAGCCTAGGAAGACGGAATCTGTAGAAAACCATATGAAATTTATTAGGATTTGTGGATCTTTCCGAGCTTAATAGCTCTGTGGCCGAAAATTTTCTGTAATTATCATCTATCGAATTCGTTTTTTTTTAATTTAAAGTTCACGTTTTAATTTAAATCGTCTTGCTCTAAAACAATTCATGTAATGAGAAGATTTCTCTACATGAGTAAAAAGTACCGGATCTTTTGTAGATATATGGATTTATATATATTTGGTTGTTGTTTGGTTGTCGCTTTTGTTTACTTATTCCTTTTGTAATAATGGAAAACTTATATAAACTTTTATACTGAAGAAGATGAAAACTAAAAACTACTCTAATGAATTTCTTCATTTAGAAAAGATTAAAGGATTGAAATAACAAGAACACTTGCTTTTCGCCATCATTATATCCAGTGGTGTTTCGTATAGAAAATAAAGTCAGTTGTAAATAACAGAAGAAGAAAAAAGCTGCTAATGATCAAATAAAAGAGAATTTTGCAATTCCGTAACAAATACTCCACTTTAAAGTTCAACGCTTGGTCAGGACACGTAGCAATTTTGAAGATGAATAGAGAGCTGCTGACCTTGTGCTCGTAAGATATTAATTTCATTCTTATTTCAACTTACCAGCAAATCTTTCTCTTTACGACCATATTTAACGAATTGACATTGTGGCGCATGTCTCGCATATTCTCCCCGGGGCTTATCGGCTGGTTTCAGCCATTTTCAAAATATCACACGAAAAGATATTGTTAAACGGCCATTTCCTATAACTTTCCATGCGATGCTTTTCCATGATATAAATGCTTTTAAATTTATTAATCTTTTTTTTTTTATGTTGAATGGAGGTGGACTAAGCCAATAGATTTGTGGCTTATATGTCCAGATAATAAACTGTCGAATTCTTGGTCACAATATGTATAAAACTTAACAAAAGAGAAAGTTTTTAAAAGCCAACAGTTTCAGGGTGATCATTTTCTTTTATTGTTAAATTTAGTCTTGGTCTTAGGGCGTTAGTTTCAATTAAGTTGTAGAAAAGATTACTACGCTTAAAACAAAAACGAGAATGACGATACTGATAGAGACATTACTATTAAATCTAAAGGATCATTGTTCAATCAGAATTAGGACTAGAATAATAAAGCACTTTCTCCCACTCTTGCAACTTCGTATTTGTTGTTCGTATGATGGCACTTTCCATATATTGTTTTTATGGTAGGGTAACACGTTTAAAACAACGCTGTGAAATTCTGTGATTTGTCAAGAAAATTATTCCTATTGAATTTTTTTTGTTGGGATTACATTTCATCTGTGAAGGTAGTTTTTTTTTTTAAACCTTTATTCTTCTTCTTTAAAAACATATGTTCTATTATTTCATTCTTCTTCTTCATTATTTTTGCCTTTAACAAAAAAATTAGCAATTGAATCTTCCACACAAAATTTGGTTGAAAAAGAAAAACAAAGCAATTTTGATGCAACTGTCGGGGAAAAAAGATTATTAATACAGGTGTAGCTTATGACTTGGACGGAACTTATATTTAATTTTACAGTTCTCCACGTATATATGGCAACAGTTGTTCGTTGTGAAACCATATCTCAGCCTTTTCTGGCCAATTTTGATTACCAACGGCTCTTGGACTCGGGTGCGGCAATTTCATAATACGTTTGTTTTGGCAATTTTCGGATTTTTTTAAACATTGGAATACGTAATCGCCTACAGCTACTATAATTTCGCAGTTCACTAATTGTACTAAAGATTCCAATGTCTCCAAACAAACGTGTAATATTTCTTGTTTGTAATCTCCTTTCAGTTCATTAGGTGTTATATTTTTACCATGTTTATCAAAATATATTAGGGGACAGAAATTGTACACAAAACATTGCTTGAAAAAAGTATCCAATGAACCGTCAGCTAGTTTTTCAAGTAATGGCCATAAACGTTTTCCACTAGGTTCTTCGGTAGTATGTTGTAAGCCATTTACAGGTCTTTTGGGGTGTGTTCCGTTGGGCTGCTCTACAAGGCCAGAAAGTTGCATTATGTATTTAACTGTAGTTATATTGCCAAAAGGAACCTACACGGATTTTTTTTTTTAAACTTTTCAATAAAAATTATATGTCTGTCCACTTACACCGGTTTGTCCCATTCCATTCGCGCCAGGATTCATGCCGACGAATAGAACCTTTTTGCAACCATTTAAATATTTTTTTAAATACTCGCAGTGCACTTCTTTGGCATATTCAACAGGGTTATAAATATATTGTATAGCAGGCGGTTTTGTCATTTTGGACAGTTTTTCATTTAATTCTAATTCAATTTCATAGAATTTTTGCCAAAATGGTTTAGCAAACAAAGAAGAGGTTTTACTCTCATCAGCAGCATCATTTTTCAAAGTTTTATTTTCTTTAGCTTTTGCTTGTTTTTGTAATTTTCTTTTCAGCATTTTTGCCGATATTAATATTTCGTTGAAGAATATTTCAACTGTCGCGTGCTTTTGTTTAGAGTCTTCCTTTAAAAATCTATAGTGTTGTAAATATTACTTAATTTGATGTTTTCTTCTTCTTCTTTGAAGTTTATCCGCATTGATAGCAAAAGAATAAAAATAATGGATCCAATAAAATTATAAATTATTGAAGCTTTTTTCGATTTCAACAAAAAAAAAAAAAACAAAATCTGTGCAATTCAAACACAACTTTTGAGGGGTTGCCTTTTTGGCGTTGACTTGTTTTGCAATAATAGATTTTCGTCTTTCTCTGCTCGATCATTACATGGCATTTAGTGTTTAATTCTAAATCGATCTAGATTTTTATTGACATCCTTTTTCCAATATTATATCTATATATAAATTATGATAAGCTGTCATCTTCAAATATAACCAGGGTATTGAAAGTGTTTTGAAGCAGTTTGGAATTGAAAGTGAGCCAAATTTGCCAGCGGATCCTCTCCTCTGATTGGGAAAGCAAGAAATTGGATTTTCCTTGTTTATATACTAGAGAAGAGAGCGATGAAAATTTTCGCGAAAATTCTACGCACGGTTTTGTAATAGTTGTAAAAACAAGTGAAAACATTATAGTCGGGCTAGGCCATAGAATACAAAAATTAGGTTTTGTTTTCATATGAACTTATTATTACGGAACTATATCTTAAAAATTACACCTCTTTGCAAATAAAGGCTTACTTTCCTTAAGAATGTTTGTGTCCAAAAGATTCAAAAATTGATATTCGTGTTCAAAATACACCACAATCAATTATACCCATATCACTTGTAATACAAGGTATATTAAGCTTGTTCGGATGTAACATGCAGAAGCGCTTAAGACAGACCCAGCTTTTATTATACCAATCGATTGAGCAACAGTTTCTAAATTGATCTAAGCCTGTCTGTCCCTTTGTCTGTCCGATTACTGTCCAAGTAAAATTGTGTTGAAACTTCAAGTCGCAATCTTTGAAATATTTTGATGAATTTTGGTAAACTGCTACTGTTATGAATCAAACAAAAAAAAAATTTTCAGGCAAATCCTTATACAGGGTAGGATGCAAAAATGGGCGTGATTCAAATTTTTCAGAGTTCATTTTTATATCAAATATTAATTATAAATCAATTTCCATTATAATATATTAAAATTTACACTTACCTACCCTAAAAGAGATCAGTTTTCGTGAAAGTCCTTATATGTGGTAGGAAAGAAATTAAGCCGAGAATGTACAGTTAATTTTCTTGTTTTTTTATATATAATAAATTACTGTTATAATCTGGTTTCCATTAGCAAAAATTGAAAATTAGACTTTTGTTTCTTATGAACAATATATGAGAAGGGGTGTTAATAAAATGCCAAGCCGATCGAAAATTTTTTTAGAATGCCGAAATGTCACTTTAGCGAGAAATTTTAAAAAGTCCAATTGGTCGAAAAATTGAACCGATCCAAACGCGACTTGTAGATTGAACAAAAATTTACATAGACAGATATCAGATGAACAGACAGGCTTGCGCAAAATCATTTTCTGAAAGGATTAAGATAATAAAGGCTGGGTTTGTATTAAGCCTTTCAATGCATAATCATTTTCTGAAAGGATTGAGATAATAAAAGGTGGGTTTGTATTAAGCCTTTCTGGGTGTTACATACGTCCGCACAAACTTAATATATCCTGTACCACAAGTGGTGTAAAGTATAATAAGAAAAATTTATCAAGAATTAGAATTTCATCTTTCCGACTTTTTTCCCTTTGCAACTAAAGAGAGCGACATTATTATTTTCTTACTTGTTATTACTTGTCTTTGGCTACCTTCTTAGAAGGTTATAATTTATAAGTAATGAAATTGACCGTGATCTGTTAGTTTCTTGTTCTTAATCTAGAGTTAGATTAAGTCTTGCAGGTTAAAGAATCGGCTTTGCTTGATTACAATTTTTTAAAGCTACAAAATTTCAATACGAAATGGCGCCAAAAAATTCAAACAATAATCTACAGTTCTTTATCAAGCTATCCAATGCCTGCTTCTATACGTTTACAACATAGGTGTCTTTAATAAAAGGAAGCAGTTTGAAAACGTGTACCTTGAAATTCAATTATCTATGTGTACACTTGTGTCTTGATGTAGAGCTTTTGTATGTGCCCACAATGTATATAATTCTTTAGTAAGAAACAAAAAACAAACCTTCGATTTCTTACTAACTATATAATAATAGAATAATAGAAATGATAATAAAACAGAAAATTTCTTTTATCTCTTGTTCCTCGTGGTGTTATTAATAATTTTTCCTCAAACTGATAAAAGTTACGAGTGCCAGTTCTACTGATATTTCTTTTGTTTGGCTATAATATAACAGTTTCCCACAAGAGCGCGAGTAAATTTTCCTAGACAACCACTGAATATAATCTTGTAGTAAAGATTTCTACCATTATAAACTTCAGTGCGTAAATTCCATTCCATGACGTTTCAAACTCAAAACAAAATTAATTTTGAATAATTTCATAAACCCACACACCCACATCACACAAAACCCTTTAATAAAATATTTCCAGGATAGAGTAGCAAAATACAATGAGCTGGAATGGGTAAAATCGAATGCCACGCCTATAAAAATTGTATAAAACTATTGAGGAGACGTACAAGGGGAGATGAATGCATATTTTTGATACATTTCTATAAAAAAGATTATATATTATATTTCAAGCCTTGTATGAATATATATGGAAAGAATTATCATTTTTTTTTGAAAATAGGGTAAAATCGAATGCCACGCCTATAAAAATTGTATAAAACTATTGAGGAGACGTACAAGGGGAGATGAATGCACATTTTTGATACATTTATCGAATCGCTTTAACTATGTGTTATCTATGTAATATATATCAAAAATGCAGGCGCAGCACACTATAATTTATTTTGATTTATTTTTTTAAAAGAGCAATGCCTCTCCCATTATAATATGCCTAAATCTTTTATTAGTTTGGGGAAAAAGAAATCCATTATTTTTTCGGTAGATGGCTGCACTGATAGATTTCTCGTAAAGTATCGATCAAACAATTTCCGATACTGTACATTTACATACTGTACATTTCGCAGTAAAAAAAATTCTTTTGCTGTTTTTTGTTTGGTGCATTCAGTTGTGAGTTACAGCGTGTTAAAAATGGAAGTGAACAAAGAGAAAATTCGGTACATTTTACAGTTTTTCTTTGGCAAAGGCGAAAATGCAAGCCAGGCGGCTAAAATTGTGAATGGTGTTTATGGTTCCGATACTGTAACAGCCAATTATGTGCAATTTTGGTTTCGTAGATTCCGCTCAGGAATTTTTGATGTTAAAGATGCACCTCGCACAGGTAGGCCGGTCGTTGAAAATGTCGATAAAATCGGAGAAATGATCGATGTTGACTGGCATGTTAGCAGTCGTAACATCGCCCAGGAGCTAAAAATCGACCATAAAACAGTTTTAAACCATTTACACAAAGCTGGATTCAAAAAGAAGCTCGATGTTTGGGTGCCACACCAATTAACAGAAAAAAATGATGAATCGAATTTCCATCTGCGAAGCCTTGGCCAAACGGAATGAGATAGACCCATTTCTTAAACGGATGGTGACTGGAGATGAGAAATGGATCACATACGATAACCCTGTGCGAAAACGATCGTGGTCAAAGAGCGGTGAAGCACCTCAAACGGTGGTCAAACCAGGACTAAGGCCAGGAAGGGATTATTTATTGTGAGTTGCTTCCATATGGCCAAACGCTAAATTCTGATCTCTACTGTCAACAACTGGACCGTTTGAAGATAGCGATTGACCAGAAACGGCCAGAATTGGCCAACAGTAGTGGTGTCGTGTTCCACCAGGACAACGCTATGCCACACACATCTACAGTGACTCGCCAGAAACTTCGGGAGCTTGGTTGGGAAGTTTTAATGCATGCGCCATACAGTCCGGACTTGGCACCAAGCGATTATCATCTTTTTCATGCATTGTAAAATTTCTTTAATGATAAAAAATTGGAATCTAGGGAGGATTGTGAAAATCGATTACTAGAGCTTTTTGCAAATAGAGACCAGGACTTCTATGAGAGAGGCATTTTGAAGTTACCGTTAAAATGGCAACAAATCATACAACAAAACGGTGCATATTTGACCCAAATCGGACAATCCGAAGCATGTTAAATAAGGTCCTGAAGTTCATATAAAAATAATGGATTTCTTTTTCCCCGAACTAATATTTCCACTGATAAAAAGAGAACAAAAAAAAAACACTAATTAAGAAGTCGAAAGAAGCTTGAAATTTGATGGATCGGTTTCACAAAATTTTATTTCAATTCCTTCATATACAGCGGAACCAAAAAGATAATACGTAAGGATATTACAGACGGGCGAGGGCGATCGTTGGGTTATTCACCCATTTAGGTAATAACGCTCCAAAAATTGTAGGTAATTTCTATGCAAAGTTCCACTTTTCGTAAAAGTTTTTGATAAAAAACTGGAAATTAGAATTTTTCATGGTAACCCTTATATATAGTAGGATGTAAAAAATAGACCCATTTCATCCAAATTCCCTTAATTTTTTTTTTTTAATTGCTAGTAAAGACTATGTCTTTATATATTATATGGAATGGGGCCCAAGAAATGAATCCACGTAGTTTAAATTTGATCCATTTAAGTTTTGTGTCAAACTACTATAATGAACGAATTTTAATTATAAAACGTTAACAATTAGGCCTTTCCTCACAATCCTGGTCCAAATTCGGCAAGATTGATATCTTTCTCAATTTACTATTATGAACCAATTTTTGTAATGAAACACTAAACATTATATCTTTTTGTTATGCCGTTAAAGATTCAGGTTCCGTAGGAACGGTTATATGCGAAGGGGTTCAAAAATGTTCCCAGCCGAACAAATTTATTCATTCCCACTTAGAATGTCGAAATACTATTATTCAATGACTGTTGTCGAATAATTTTAAAAATTACAATTCCAAATAAGGACCTTTTAAAATAGGGCGCTATGGGGGGAATGATCGAAAAAGTGGTCCGATCCGAGGCATTCTCAACAGCTTTTGTCCTTGGGTCAAAGCACATCATTGCGCTATATTTCATCAAAATATCCCAAGAATTGTGGCCTGTAGTTTGAACATACAAAAATACGTGGACAGACATTCTATGGACAGGTAGAAACGGATAGAAAAGCTTCATAAAAAGTTGGTCTGGGGTTACATACGTCCGCACAAGCTTAACATACCCCACAAGTGGTCTAGGATATGAGAAGCATGGTGATGAAATCAACATACACGGATTCAAATTCCAGTGCAGCGCGGTAGTCGTAGCTATTGCGAGTACTCAATCGGTGACGGTGTAACATTTACAGGACGGACTTTTAGGCTTATCCTATATATAAAGATTCAGTTTTCATAGGAATGGTCGTATGAGAGGGGATTTAAAAAAGTTGCCTCAGTCGAACCAAATTTGTCATATCAGCCTAGAATGTCCAATTACTGTTACAAAAAAAGAGATTTGTCGAGAAATTTTGAAAATTGCATTTTTTTCCATAAAATGATTTTTCATAATAGGGCGTTATATGGGGAGTGGACCGTTTCGAACCATGTTCAACAGCGTTTGGGCTTGGGTCAAACTACGTCAGCATACGAAATTTAATCAAAATAGATCGAAAATTGCGACCTGTAAGTTGAACACAAATTTAAATGGGCAGACAACACATGAAAAGACGGACAGACAGGCTCAGAAAATGATACTGAATACAATTTATTGATAACTCGACTTTTAAAGTTTATTTTAATTTAATTGTCATTTGCTTAAAGAAATGAAAAATTTTACACTTGCGATATACAATTAATATTTATTTAAAGTTTGACTTTTCTATGAACTATACGTAATACTAAAATAATTATGGCATGTAATTTAAATTAAAATTTTTAAATTATGTTTTATAAAAAAATTTCGTTGTTTATTGCATGTATTTTGTTATTTACTTATTTATTGATTTTTTTATCTTAGACTTTAGACTAATGTAACTGAGGCAATGCCAATTAGAATAAATACCAACACCAAAAATTTTTATTTGAGCATTTTACGCTTAATCCCCAAAACTAGAAAATTTGTTAAACTAATATGCAGGCATGCATGAATCGTTTGTTATGCCCTTAAATAGGATTTATTTAACTACGGTTACCGGTTGCGCTTTAGCCTAAACATTAAGGACGGAATATATCGCATGCACAACAAACAATTTATTTTTATTTTGCATTATGATTTAATCTTATTAAAGGAATTTAAACTATTTATAAGATTTTCACTATATTTTCATATTTCTACGTTTGCTGCCAATGTTAATCCATTCTACCGGTATTGAGTTATTAATTTCATATCTTGTTGTTGGGCAATTCGACAATTTATGAATACGTTCACAGCGTCGACTTATAGTCCAATATGCGAAACCCTTTGGACATCTATAAATTTGTCCTTCGACGCGTTGTGATTGTTGAGAGTATTCACATTTTATGAAAAGTTGACTACAGCTGTCGTCGTTTAATGGGAAGTGGCCTTCATTAGGGCATAGCGGTTGAGTAGAGCGCACTTTAATCTGTTGGGAAAATGATAAAATATATTTCTTCTTTTTTAACATTGTATTCAAGCTGAAGCGTTTATTTTATGTTAGTTGCCTTTAGCTACTAAGTCGACTTCGGATTGATAGCAAAAGAATCCGACCTTTCCTTTCCCGACATTTGATGGAAAGCTTAAGTAATCTTTGTGGTTTGATAGGATATTGAGATTATTTCATTGATGAAATTTTAAATTGGGTTTTATCTGACTGTTGTTGTATTAAGGGAAAAGTAACAATGCATTTTGAGGTGACATCTTGCAGGTATATATTCTAAACTTGTAAAAACAATTGAGTTTAAATTTCATATACACATATTTCATAAGTATTAACGTGATAGCGCATGTCTTCAGTTGATTTCGTAACACAATCCCAATTAAGAAAATTCAGTGCTTCTATTTTCATTTGCCTCAGAGTGGAGTTTTTCAAGATTTAGCTGAACGGACGAATATAACAAATTTGATACTTTTCGTTGGAACGTTGGCACTTACTAAGAATTATTTCGATTCATCAATAATAGCTACTAATTTATATGTCATCCGCTTGAGATAAACATATCCTCATTGTTTCGAAAATTACCAAAGTGGTGTCACTAAAACAGCTGGTTGGAATTTGGTTTAAAGTAGTCATTCTACGAACTTATTGAGTGATATGTCAGACTTTGCACTTGTTCGTACTCACCATGTGATTGTGTTTGTATTCATCGTGATATAACGTATTCACTAATTCAGTCTTTAATTGACAGTTGTCACCTTTGCGAGGAATGTCACAGCGGTTCAGTGATTCATGGAAAACTGTACTCTTAGGACATTCGAAAACTACAATACTGTGATCATAACTTTCAGGTACCTCTGTGCATTGATAAAACATATTGCAGTTTTTCGGATGACGTTTGAATCCCGTCGGACAAACGAAGAGGTATTGCCCTTCTTGTGTATCTGGGCATGGAATGGATGTGTTTGGCCTTTGAGTAGATGTGGTCTCCGGAATTGCAGTAGATGTAGTTTCTTTACCTTTGTCCGTCGTTGTAGTCTCAGGTTTAGAAATAGGTGTAGTCTCTTTAGGTCTTTCAGTAGTTGAAGTCTCTGGTTTGTAGGTAGTTGTGGTTTCTGCAGGTGCCTCGGTAGTTGTAGTTCCAGGTCTAGAAGTCGTTATAATGGTTGTAGTTTCCGGCGTATGGGTAGTTGTAGTTTCTGTGGCGTTTTCGGTAGTTGTATTTTCCGGGATAGCAGTAGAAGTAGTTTCTTCAGGTCTCGGTGGAGTTGTAGTCTCCGGCCTAGAAGTAGTCGTGGTTTCTTTAGGTGTCTCGGTAGTAGTTTCTGGTCTGTAGGTAGTTGTGGTGTCCTTAGGTTTATCGGTGGTTGTTGTATCTGGTCTATAAGTAGTTGTAGTCTCTTTAGGTTTCTCGGTGGTTGTGGTTTCCGGTCTGTAGGTAGTTGTAGTTTCCTTAGGTTTTTCAGTGGTAGTAGTTTCTGGTTTATAAGTAGTTGTGGTGTCCTTAGGTCTATTAGTAGTTGTGGTTTCCGGTCTATAGGTAGTTGTAGTGTCTTTAGATTTTTCAGTGGTAGTTGTTTCCGGTCTGTAAGTAGTTGTGGTTTCTTTAGGTCTCTCCGTAGATGTGATCTCCGGTCTATAGGTCGTAGTATCCTTAGATTTTTCCGTAGTTGTTATTTCCGGACCGTAGGTAGTAGTAGTTTCAGGCCTTTCCGTGCTGGTTGTAGTTTCTTTGGGGCTTTTAGTTGTTGTTATTGAAGTTGTTTGAGGTCTTTCGGTTGTGGTGGCTCCAGAAGAACAGTTGCTGGAAACTTGATCGGCGTAGTTACATGTGTCGAGAGAGATATCCCAAACGGTACCCTTGGGACAACGGAAACTATAGACTTGATAATTTCCATTCGTCTCTACATCAACGCAACGATAATAATGATTGCAATCCTCGAGATCTGGGAAGAAACCTTCCGATGTGCAATTGTAATTAATTGATTCCAGCGTGGTGCTTTCGTAAGCATCAGTGGTTGTCGGTTCCGTTGTCGGCACGTACCCTGGTTTGTTCGTGGAAGAAATGGTAGACGTAGACTGAGTTGTTGTCGTTATCGGAGAATCAGTAGTGGTTACAGGTTTCATACTTGCTGTCGTACGTTGCGTTGTAGTTGTTGGTGGAAACTGAGTAGTTGATGTTGGCATTGCTGTGGTTGTGTGTTGCATTGTTGTAGTTGTGAGTTGCATTGTTGTTTGCATTGTAGTCGTTGTAGGTTGCGCAGTTACTGTTGTGGTTTCCATCGTTGTTGTTATCGGTTGGGTGCTTTGCGTTAAGGCTGTTGTGGTTGACGTTGCTGTGGTTGCCACTTCAGTCGGTTTTGCTACTGTTGAGGTGGTGGTTTCATATGTAGTACTTGTAGTTTCAGGGCTTTCAGTTTGGCCTATACATCTGTCGACATTACCAGCATGATCGCAAGTTTGCTTTTCTTCGCTCCACGCTGTTCCTCGACCACAGACAAAGTTGTGCTTTTCATATTTATCTCCACTCCTAAAGCATCTATAGAATTTTCGGCAATCATTGGGATCAGCCATAAAACCTTCAGACTCGCACTTTGTGCCTGGTGGAAGATTAGGTATAGTCGTCGTTGAAGTAGGTTGCGTGGTAGTGGTAGGATAATAATTTGTACTTAATATTTCCGTTGTACTTGATGCTTCCGTTATGGTAGATGAAAATATGGCCGTAGTGTTCGAATACACTGCAGTGGGTGTTGTTGGTTCTGTGTTGAGAGTTGTGGTAGTTGGTTTTCCTGTGCTTGTGGTACTTGGGTACATAGTGGTTATCGCTGTTGGCGTCCGACCAGTTGTTGTAGTTGATATTTCAGTAGATGTAGTTGTTGGATACATTGTTATATCAGAAGTTGAAGTTTCAATTTCTGGATTTTCCGTATGGCTTTCACAACGTTGCACATTTCCCGCATAATCACATGTTTGTTTCTTCTCACTCCAACCCGTGCCCTTCGCGCACATAAATTCATGTCTTACGTAGCCTTTATCAGTCTTTTCACAACGATAGAATATTCGGCAATTATTTGGATCAGCCATGAGTCCTTCCCCATTGCATACGTTGTCAGGTGGCAAATTTGGCAACGGGGTGGTGGACGTAGTTGATATTGTTGTAGATATCGACGACATAGTCGTTGTATCATAAGATGTTGGAGATGTTTGGCTGGTCGTTGGCATCGTAGTAGTTGTTATTGGCCTGGATGACGTTGTTGAAGCTTCTGCGGTTGCCGCAGTTGTATGTTGTGCGCTGCTGGCGTTTGTTGTGGAGCTGTGTTTGTCCGTTGTAGGTTCGTATTCTATTGTCGCAATTTCTGGCTCATGCGCCTCGATTTGCTGTTGACACCGTTCGATATTACCAACATAATCGCAAGTCTGTTTTTCTTCACTCCAACCGGTACCGTTGGCGCATTTGAATTCATGCTTTTCGTAATCATTGCCATTCTTAATGCACCTGTAAAATTTTTGACAGTTCTCGGGATCTGCCATAAACCCTTCACCAGCGCACTTTGTGCCAGGTACTAGATTAGGAAATGGCGTTGTGGAGGCTATTTGCTGCGTTGTATTGTATATGTTTGTGGACTCTGTAGTAGACTGAGTCGTAGTAGGACTCATAATAAGTGAAGTGCTCCCACTGACAGCTGTTGTGACTGAGGTGGCAGTTGTAGTGTGACTGCCATTAGAGCTTTCTTTGTGGCAGTTGGGGTCAGTTACAGCACTGTGGTGGTTACAAGCTTCAATTTCTGCATCCCAAATGGTATCATTCTCACATTTGAAATGATGCTTTTCAAAATCTCCTTTTTTGTTGTCCACACATCTATAGAACTTTTGACAATCCTCGGCGTCTCCAAAGAATCCTTCTTTTGGACATTTGCTATTTGCAGTTAAAAGTGTATTTGATTCAGGTTTCATCGTCGCTGTAGAAGGCTTAGTAACTATTGTTGTGGAGCTTGGATATTCGGTTGTATTCATAGGGTATTTAGTTACTGTAGTAGTTTTAGGTGGCACACTTGTGCTTGTCGTTGGGGTAGTGGTAGGATGAAAGCCTGGTTTGTTGGTCGTTGGTTGCGACTGGGGCTTGCTTTCGTCGTTATTCAAGTTACATTTATTCATGTCGTGATTGCAAGTTTGCAAATCGCTATCCCACACCGTGCCAATACCGCATTTAAACGAATACTTGGAAAATCCTCCTCTACCATTGTTCACGCAACGATAGAATTTCGCGCAATTGTTTGGATCGCCAAAGAAACCCTCCGTTTTACAAATCGCTTGCGGTCGCGGTGAGGTAGTCGAAGTGGCGGGTTTACTTGGTGGTATTGTCGATGTAGGCTTTTGTTCTGCAGGTCTACTAGTAGTTAGGGAGTTAAGAGGCGGTCGGCCTTCAGTGGTAGGTGATTGTGAGACATTGCTACCGCATCTGCGATTCTTAACTGCCCAGGCATGATTGCAAGCTTCGATTTGACTATCCCATACGGTACCGGGTCCACAAGTAAAAGCTACTGTATCGTAGCCGCCTTTGTTATTTTGTACGCAACGATAAAACTTAGCACAATTTTGTAAATCTTCTAAATATTGTCCATTACTATTGCAGCTGTCTGTGGGACTCACGCTATCAGAATTTTGATTGTTTGAACTTGAACTGGTATGTTGCGTTGTTGAATTTGTTTGAGCAGAAGTTGAAGCTATTTGGGTAGTAGTGGAACTTTGATTATTGGAGCTTGTTTGAGAGGTGGTATTTTGAGCGGCTGACTGAGCGGTGTTGGTTTGTTGAGAGCTGCCATGACTTGTTGACGCTGGTTGTGAGCTAGTAGACTCTTGATGTGACGCTGAGGACGCTTGTGATGACGTAGAACCAGTTTGGGAGACAGTGTTTTGAGCAGTGGATTGGGTTGCGTTGGTTTGCTGAAACGAAGATTGCGTTCCGGCGTTTTCTTGAGGTGCCGATGAGGAAGCTTGTGACGTTACGGAACTAGAATTTGTATGCGAGTTACTAGAGGTAGTTTCATTTATGTTGGATTGATGTGTGGTATGATTGCTGGTCGAGTGTGATTCCGACGAAATCGTTGTTGATGGCATTTTACATTTCAAATTTTGTGCTTGTCCTGGATGGTTGCAGCTGTTAGCCTCAGGATGCCAAACGGTGTTAGGTGGACATTTAAAAGCAACCATGGTATAGCCACCTCTGCCGTCGTCGACGCATCTATAGAATTTTGTGCAATCAGTTTTATCATCTAAAAAGGATTCTTCACTTTCGCAATATTCAGCAGGTCTGAATGGTTTCGTATTCGTAGTTGTAGTCATTTGGTTTGTAGCAGGCATGGAAGACTGATGTGAGGAACTTGTACTAGTTGCCAATGAATTGTTGGACTGAGCAGTTTGCGAAGTGGTAACTGATGTTTGTAACGATGTGGAATTTTCGCTAGTACTTGATGATTGTGTAGATTGACTTGACTCAGATGCTTGTGATGAGCTACTTGATTGCTGCGCGCCTTGAGATACATGAGAATTTGCAGTTGAAGGTTCTTTTTGTGGTTTTGGGACGCCTGGTGATTCTGGAGATGGTCTTTCATTGGCCATAACCCTGCATTTTTCCTTTTGCACATCTGTAGGATGATTGCAACCTCTTGCAATTGGATCCCAAACCGTACCGGGAGCACAATCGAATCCCACTATAGTAAAGCTACCATATCCGTTATATACGCAACGATAAAAACGTGAACAGTCGACTTTGTCTGGCAGATAAGTTTCAGAATTTTCACATTCTCCATCTGAATTTGCAGGTTTCATTGCGGTGGTGGTATGCTCGATAGCAGGCTCGGAATTCGTCTCATTATTTGCAGAAGTACCTGACGGAGATTGATTTTGATTAGCAGAATTTGTTGAGTCCGCCTGGGCTTGTGACAAAATTGTTGAGGTTGTTTGATTATTGAAAGCATTGCTGTGGTTCGTGCTTGAGCTAGTGGAGCTCAACCAAGAAGAAGAAGAAGAAGAAGAAGAAGTAGAAGAAGAATTTGAGGAAGAACTAGAGCTTGATGTACTATGATGTTGTTGGTTCGTCGATGTATTTGAAGTATTATTGCGATAACTAGTTTTTGATGATTCTGTAACTGAACCTACCAACTTCAAATCTTGTTGTTCGTTTTGGCAGCCTCCTTTAGCACGTACTTTAAATATATGATTACAAGATTCTAATGACATATCCCAAGCTGTATTTTCTGAACAGCGAAAACCAATTTTATTAAATGTGCGACCATTTGATATACAACGATAAAATATAGTACAATCATTTGGATCACTTATGAATCCATCAACTTCACACTCAGGTCCATCATCATCGTTATCAGCATCCCCTGCATGACTAGACGAACGTGCTGATGAAGTCGAAAAGGAAATTACTGAAACGCCGCTTAATCCTGTTAGGCCATAATGTTTCCCTTGATTGTATATGCCAACCAAAGCATTACCATTATTTGCAATGCCGCCAACAGCATGCATCCATCGATTGTCAACACCACCTCCAATACCTCCATTAAAAATAGTTCCCCTAACATTTACGTCATCCAAACTGGCATCAACAACATCCATACTACCATTAACATCGTCGTTTGGCGTTGTATCGATTTCGTTGATGTAATGTTGACATTCCTCACGATTGGCCAGCAGTGGTGGCATGCATAGCTTTAAATCACGCGAGAATACCGTACCCCTTTTGCACGCTAACAAATATGCCTTTATGTTGCCATTTGTTTGTACTTCACAACGATAATAGTATTGACAGTCATAATAGTGGGCAAACAGACCTTCAGCCGGACACGAGAATACCTCAGGCATGTTGTTATTACTGTTGGCACTGATAACGTCGCTGTTGCTATCGCTGCCAGTCATGGCATCACTGTCGCTAAATATTAAATTTTCCGTGTCATCGTGCTGGAGCAGTGATGAGGGAATGCCTGCAATGATGATTTAAAGTAGCACAAAATTTTAAAAAGAATTTTTCTTGATATGCTTTTAAGAAACAACAAAGAACTTTAAATAATAAAAACATCTATCACATTTATTGAGGCAATCAAACAACATACTGCAAAGATCAAAATTAGGCGGGAATGGTGATGTAGCCTTATAATACATACGTTAGAGACAACGAGGTTACGCGACTCCTACTATCAACAAAATTCATATTGATTTTAAAATCGCTCAAACCAGTGACGATAGGATAATATAAATAGCGATGTAAATATTCATTTCTAATTACAAAATCCATAGCACTTGTGTGTGAGTACGCATTTAAGCTTATTATACCGATCCAAAATAGCGAAGAAAGAGACTTTATAAAAAACAACCGGCTACTATTTTCGAAAAAGTAATGATGAACAATGAACACTAGAATGTTACAAACAAAAGCAAAGAATGCGAGTTGTAAAAGCTGCAAAGGCGATTGAATAGAGAACAAGTAGAAAGTAGTGGACATGCGTAAGGCAAGCGCAGCCAAGACGGAAAAGATGATCTGAAAATGACATATCAATTATGAAACCAACAACCCTTCTAAGATAGTGAGTATGGAAAATACATAAGTGATTGAAAGTTTGGTTTGAATAAATTGCTTATTTGATTATAGAAGAGAAAAGAAGAAAAAGAGAACAGCATAAAGAATCATATACAATCGCACAAACGGGGACCAATTAACAAAATGCTTAGGAACACATAAGAAATTTCCGCAACAATTAATTGAAGCGAAGTAACCAAAATGCCCTAGCTCTAAGCTGTTAACGTCTCAAGATGGATTGCGAAGATTTCGAATTCAGACGCGTTAGTGAAAAAAATTTATAAAGGCATTGACAAAGATGACGCGTACTGTACACATGATATCGGCAAAAAAAAAAAAACGGCGAAGTGGTCTCCTCTTTAGGGAGCAAGGTCGCTATTCACGACGGTGGTAAATATGGGACAGACATCCTAAAAGGGATCAAAGGAGAATGAAAAGATGTTGAAGTGATACAGTTTGGAGAGAAACAGCAAGAAAGTTCAATGCGGCAAATGGCGGCAACATCAATCAGCGGATGGAGGAGTAATAACCGGTGCAAGCGTACTGGAAAAATGAATATAAGCAAATGTCGGAGGGTAGAGACCTAGTGAAGACTTGAAGAGCATTGGAAGGAAGGACATATGATCTGAGGAAATTTAGTTGCAGTAGAAATGATCGAAATGATATACAGTAGCATTTACTAAAGACAACAGCAGCCCTAGAGGAAGAAGAAGCTTATTGATGGTACGCTTCGAAGGTATGGTACCGTCGTGGACAATAATGTGTTTAGTGAAAATGATGGAAATAATAAGATTACTGATTGTCGGCATCTGTACAACTAGTGGGCCTTTAGAGAATAAACGCATATTCGTTCTCAAACATTCAACAGGTCTTTATAAAAAAGCCATCGATGCGAGATTAATGTGTATATTCGTACTCAATAACAACTAGTTTAAGTTGCACTTTCTCCAAACATATGCAGATTCAACGAAAAGCTTTATTTTGTCGCACACTTAGACAGGAAATGATTTTATTAAAAACGAAATTCGGTGCCGTTTGATTTTATGGAGCAACCTCACAAATGTAATAAAATCGATGCAAACAATAACATTATAAGTATAAACAATTTTGTTAAATAAGCGTCCAATTTGTTTACAATTTTTAATAATTGTTCAAGTATTTGTATAAAAATTGCGTGCATGCGAGAGTAAGCGTATAAAAATTTGCCGCTAACTGAAAATTATCCAAGTCACCTTGAAGCTGATGTAATTGCGATTCAGCAGAGAAGGAAGAAAACAGTTTCGCATCATCAGCATACATTAAGATCTGGCTGGAATTAACCACCGGTGGAAGATCATTAATGTATAAACTAAATAAAATGGGACCTAAGTGACCTCCTTGAGCCACGCCAGACATAACGGGGAATTCATCCGAGGTGATGAAGTTAAACAAAACCCTGAAGGATCTATTGTGCAGATAAGAGCTTATCCATTTCACTAAATAGAAAGGGAGCCAGAGGCTTGGAGTTTAAAGATAAGTAAGTTATGGTTAACCATAAGTAAGTTTTGAATTATATTGAAACGAAATCATAGCTGACTGCTTCTCTTATGAAATTCGTAAAAAAAAAAAAACAACCTAACAGGACAATCAATGTATTTACGTAAAAATTTACAATCGACAATTGCATGGAATTTGAAAAGTCATTCGGCATTTTTATACAAGATTAAGTCAACAGCGTAACGAGCAATCGAAGCATGAAAATTTTCATGATTTTTGGAGTTTGACGATTATTATTAAATAAGTGTTCTTGTTTTTGTTGTTGTTTCTCTTTTTATTTTGAAATTTTCAAGGTTCCGCGACATGTATACAAAAGCCCAACGGGAAATTGTCAGCTATCAATGAATTTTGTCATTTTTGAAATGAAGCACAAAAAAAGCGATGAATATCTAACAACGGCCTGACACTCGTTTTATATTCATTGTACGAAATGTTCTTTTTTTTCCGTTTGCTCTGTGAAACTTGCTCTATGTGCACTGAAATTCACTATAAACTGATAATTTATAGTCATTCAAAGTGTAGTGGCTTTTTTTTTTTGCGCTTCTCTTTTCGCTTGTTTTTATGCGAGTGTGACATTTGTTGTTTTCTGTTCGGTCGTATAATAAAATTTTATTTATGCCCAAAGAAAGAAAGAAAAAAAAACAACATGGAAGGCACATTTATATAATGTTACGAAATTTTTGTTTTTCTCCATCTCTTTAGTATTGAGTCAATTGAAATTTTAAACGGTTTTCGGTTTGATTCATGTTTTAACTGAAGGCGTGCTTAAGGTTTTTGTTGTTGCAGTTATTTGTTTGATTTGTTTTTTTTTTTTTTTTAAAGCGATTTTTATACCCTACGCCAGTGGAGAAGAGTGCACTTGTGTTGTCACTATTCTCTTTCGAGTAAGGAACACCTTGTAAAGTAGAACTTGAAATTCTGAATGCATCAGTCCGATTGTCCGCCTACAAGTGAGAAGAACTATTGTGAATGTTAATATCAAATTGAAAGACTAAACTTTGTCACATTTGTTAGTTTGCCAATTAATACGTCTTGATAAGTTTTAACAATAAGCTCAAGCGGCTAAGAAACACGTCTGGAATAAATAAAAAAATTTCAACTGGTACTCTTGTTGTGTAAGAAAAACAAGTTGTAAAAGATATATTTGCTCGAGAGCGAATCTTGGATATCCACTAATTAATTGTAAGCGTGTTAATCAAATTGTAAGATTGGTGTGTAGACGTTAGCTAAGGATTTATATGCTCCGATATAGTTTTCTATTTCAATTTTTGGTTCGAATCTCAAGTGCGGTAGACTTTTTAATAAAGGCGATAGTCTTAGGCGTTAGTGATTTAAGACATTAGTCTTCGAATTTATTCCTCTGGCTAAATTGATAACAACATTTCAAGTTTTACTCTTGTCAATATCACATCATTCACAAATGGCCAGTCAAAGGGAATTTGGGTAACTCTAGAAGTACGGATGTTTTGTAAATACCTATTTCAATCGATTGGGATTATTTCGATCCCCTTTTTTTGTGGAATGGCCATAGTTGTAAAAATTCAGGAAATTCAGTTTTTCGGAAACACATTCACTGGATTGAAAATTATAGATGAAAATAGGAAACAAGTTTTCGATGTTTTTTGAGTTTGGCTTGGTTTCTTATCCCTTGTGAGCGTGTTTGCGGGAGGTTCACATTTATTTTCTTATAATTGTGTCCCGGCTAATCAAGGAATGTTCGTGCTCAATTTCGATTCCCTATATTCATTTTTCTGACTGTGGCAATTCCATTGAAAAAGAAGATCAAAATGATTCCCTTTGATAAACGTAATTTTATGTCGATTATGCCGATTTATTGTTCTCTACATCGAATAAATTGCATTTTAATTTGGATATGTCACTCGGCAGCAATTTTGTGTTCAAAAGAATTTTCATTCGAAGAAAAAGGCATATCTTATCGAGTGCTACAAACTCTTTTACTCCTTGCAGTGAATCCATAATCGTCAGCTATTATAGTTCACTAGATTAAGTTTATTCAACACTGAAACCTTAAGCCGATTATAGGTACGGAATGGTCTTTTTAAAATCGCCAAAATTTTTCGTACTCGAAAGTTCTAATGTTAAAATCAATCGAAATCTTTCACTATTACGGAATTTGTAATTTTTAGATATCACTTACAAGAGTTTTAGTGAGTTATTGTAATAAGTCCTGAGCCAGTACCTGCTTTTAAGTGAATTTGTGTTGCTAATTTAAATATAAATGGGTTACGGTTGCTTGCGATATGGCAGCAGACGGACTTATATTGATTCAACAGATCCTGTTTTGATTAGGAATATCAGATCTCTAAAGTCTTCCAAGTAGAATATAATAAATCTTTAATAGGTGATCGGTATAGAGAGAAGAATTAAAAAAAGAGAAATCGACAATCGTGAACTATTTTTACTATTTTATGCAATAGTAGTCTTTAAAGTACGGTCCCACTTCATTAACTGAATCTTCCATCATAAAGAAAATTTGAAGAGAATTTCGCATTTACTTGCATTTATTTTAAGCATTAGATATGCAAGTCGTTTTAAGTTTTGGATAAGGACTCATATAAATCACAACAGATGATGCATTGATGTTTTCACTTTCCATACAAAATTCGTCATGACAGAAAGGAGAAAGCTATAGAGGTTTTAAATACTATTTTCTTCAGTTTTCTTCAGGATATAGAGTCTTTTGTAGGCTTGCTTACAGAATGTAATTGTAAGGAAGAATCGCGGTCACCTGCGAAGAAAATTGTTAAGAAGTATTTTATATAGACAGGACTTACTGTTCCAATATTTTTATATATGTAAGGATATTTATAATTAATTATATTATTAATTAATATATTAAGACGTAAGACG